ACTACAGGCTGGTTCAGAACCAGTCCGTCGATCATCTCGCTGTCTTCGATGGTACCGCCCGACTTCTTGATCATCCGAATGTTCTTCAAGTCTACGTTGTCGGCGGTCTTGGGGTCGATGACCTTGAGGACTGAATCCACAGCCATGATGGGGAGCTTGGGCTCCTGAGCGACGATCTTGGAAGAGAGTGCGGTGGTGGCGGTCTTGAGGAGCGTTTGCCTATCCGTGAGCGAGATGGGGATGGCCATCTCGGTCAATATCGATATCGCCTCCTGCGCTGCCCGTTGGAAAGCCTCTGATATGACTGTGGGGTGGATGCCCTTGCCCAATAACCTCTCAGCGGCGCCCAGCAGACTTCCAGCAATGACTACGACCGACGTTGTACCATCTCCAGCTTCGATATCTTGGGCGTGTGCGAGGTCGACGAGCATCTTCGCGGAGGGATGCATAACGCTCATCTGGTTCAACATGGTGGCTCCGTCGTTCGTGATGATGGTCTGGCCTTTGCTGGTTTGGATCTGGACACGTCAGTTGCGATGGCTAGTGATTTGCGCCTGGCTCGTACCATCTTGTCCATGCCCTTTGGTCCCAAAGACTGCCAAAAAGTTAGTATTCATCTCTTCCCCGCACCTCGTGGTGGGACATACAGTTCGGATCGCATCTGCCACAGCTGCACAATTTCAGTTAGCGAAATGCTTCAAAATGGTGATGAGTAGGCTCTGTACCTCTTGCGGCAATGATGTTGGCGCTGCGAACAGCTCTGGGCTTCTCCTTGTCCTGGGCCAATGTCAGTCAATGTTTTCAGAGCTTAGTGACGAAGCGCACCTTGAAGGCGGTGTTGCCGCCACCGGTACCGCCATTTGCAACTTGAGCAGCCATCTTTCAGTCTACAGGAGAACAAAGCTAAAAGAGGGGTATCGTGGGAGTTTGGCGGGGAAGTTGTGGTGCCTGGACGCGAACTGACAATATTTCGAGAACGCGATAGACGTAGCGCACGGCCAATCCCCAAGCTCCGACTCGCCGGGCCATTGCCGCATCACAGCTACACCTTCACCCAGTACACAACAACCAACCCCATACACTCACCCGCGCCGCCGCATCTACTCCCACTGTCGCTCTTACCCGGAATCATCCACAACTCGACTGCACGCATAGCCCGAACCCCATCTCGGCCACACAACAGTCGCCGCCCACTCCGCAAGCATGCCTTCAGCCACAGGCCAGTCCTGGGAGAAGTACCAGAAGAACTTCGCCGACGACGAGGTTGAGGAGAAGAAGATCACACCTCTGACAGACGAGTAAGAGATGGTACGTCACAATCAGAGCGGACATGGGCTGATGATATCACAGGGACATCCAGGTGTTGAAGACATACGGAGCGGCACCCTATGGCGCCGAACTCAAGAAGCTCGAGAAGGAGATCAAGGACAAGCAGCAGACGATAAACGAGAAGATTGGCGTCAAAGTACGCACTCCTTCACCTTCCCTCCATGCTTGACTAACGCCTCCAGGAATCAGATACCGGTCTCGCACCTCCACATCTCTGGGATATCGCCGCCGACCGCCAACGAATGCAAGAAGAGCAACCCCTCCAGGTCGCACGATGCACCAAGATAATACAAGACGAGAAGGACTCAGAGAAGAGCAAATATGTCATCAACGTCAAGCAAATCGCCAAGTTCGTCGTCAACCTCGGAGAACGCGTCTCACCCACCGATATTGAGGAGGGCATGCGCGTGGGTGTCGATCGCAACAAGTACCAGATCCTACTTCCCCTACCGCCGAAGATCGATCCTTCGGTTACCATGATGACGGTTGAGGACAAGCCCGATGTCACATACGGAGATGTTGGAGGTTGCAAAGAGCAGATTGAGAAGCTACGAGAAGTCGTCGAGATGCCACTGCTATCACCAGAGCGCTTCGTCAACCTGGGTATCGACCCCCCGAAGGGTGCTCTTCTCTACGGTCCCCCAGGAACTGGAAAGACTCTTTGCGCCCGAGCTGTTGCCAACCGAACCGACGCCACCTTCATCCGAGTTATCGGTTCAGAGCTTGTCCAGAAGTACGTCGGAGAGGGAGCCAGGATGGTGCGCGAGCTGTTTGAGATGGCGCGAACAAAGAAGGCGTGTATCATCTTCTTCGACGAAATCGATGCTGTCGGTGGTGCTCGTTTCGATGACGGTGCTGGAGGCGACAACGAAGTACAGCGTACCATGTTGGAGCTTATTACACAACTGGATGGTTTTGATGCTCGCGGTAACATCAAGGTCATGTTCGCGACCAACAGGCCTTCGACTCTCGACCCAGCCCTTATGCGTCCCGGACGTATCGACCGAAAGATTGAGTTCTCGCTACCCGACATGGAGGGCCGTGCCAACATTCTCCGTATCCACGCCAAGAGCATGAGTGTCGAGCGTGACATCCGTTGGGAGCTCATCTCTCGTCTCTGCCCCAACAGCACAGGTGCCGAACTGAGGAGTGTGGCTACCGAAGCAGGTAAGTTCTGGCTGTACGAAATGCATATGAGACATATACTGACTTCGTACCCCTAGGCATGTTCGCTATACGTGCGAGAAGGAAGGTTGCGACTGAGAAGGACTTCCTGGCTGCCGTGGACAAGGTCATCAAGGGCAATCTCAAGTTTAACTCCACCGCCACCTACATGCAGTATAACTAGACGGCGCCAGTCATGGCGACGAAAGCAGCTTATGTATTTACATTAGAAGGCAGCACTGGTTTTGTATGAGTACTCACGACGATGCTTTTCTTCCACTCAGATGGATAAGGACATGATGCATTATTCGAATCACCCTGTTCTCTACAGTGAAGTCTTGACGATGCAGAACTCTGTCAATATGATTTGTGATCGATATAAGAATGGTATATGTTCATTACTCGTCTAGTTAGTCAAACGACCTCATGAACACACGTCGGACTATGTAAAAACTGAACACCCTAGAGCCTACATTAGCGTTAGCTCACCTACTTTGCACGTTCTCATCTTGATGTAGTCTGCAGACCTGTTCGGTTTTGTTCTTGTATAAGGTGAATATGCCATTAAACTACAACTGTCCCGCCAATATCACACAAATCAACATCAACACCCCACTTCAACCCAGCTGCCTCCGCACCCTTCCGCCATCTTTCAGGCGGCTCAGTAACCGGTTCATAGCTAGCCGAGTAGGCACCACGAAACGTACCAAAGTGCATGCCTATACTCTTCTTACTCCTCACATCCCTATGTATAGCCAAAGAATCCTCAGGACTAGAATGTTGACCAGACAAGACAGACCTCGGCTTGAAGCAACCCACAGGCACAAGTGCCAGGTCAAAAGGTCCGTACAACTCGCCGATTTCCTTAAAAGCTGGACAAGGCGGGTGCGGCGCGTCGTGGTGTGAGAATTGGTCGTCGGAAAGAACGTGGCAGTAGCCTGTGTCTCCCGCGAAGAAGAGCTTCTTGCCAGATGAAGACGGTTCCTTTACGATCCAACTACACCACAGTGTGCCGTCGAAGTTCCAAGGCGTGCGTCCAGATCGATGTTGCGCAGGCGTGCATATCAGCTCTACACCTCCAGCACCCTTCTTGAACACGGTTATGCCACCCCACCAATCCATCTCTTCGACTTGATCCGCTTTGATACCCGCGCCCAGCCCCGTCAGAACAGACTTGACGCCCAGTCCGCAGAAGAAGCGCAAGTCCCCACCCTGCTTCGCATTCAGCTTCTTCAGCGTATCTGAGTCGAGATGGTCGTAGTGGTCATGGCTGATGCACACAGCGTCGATTTCAGGCAGCTCGTCGATGGTGCATGGCGGAGGTGTGAATCGCACAGGACCGACCATGCCATAGGGTCCTACGCGCTCACTCCATACGGGGTCGAGGAGAATGCGCATTCCCCGCTCGTTTCCCTCTGAGGCCGTTGTTTCGATCAAGAAACTCGCGTGCCCTATCCATGTTGCCTTTAACCCGTTCTGCGCATTGCTGAAGTCGGGCTTGCGCACGTTGACCAGACCTAATCGATCGGCGGGTATGGGGACGAAGTTCTTGGGGGTGCTGAAGCGCGTTCGGACGGCAGCGATTATGCCATCGTTCTTATAGGAGGGCCATGGGTTCTTGAAGCCTGTGGGTGGCTTGCCGACGTGGTGGGCGGTCGTGTATGTGTCTGGCTTGTGTGGGGGTAGCGGCGTTATGGAGGATGAGGGAGGCATTCTTGCTGTTTGGTAGTGCCTAAAAAATGGCGCGAGGATACGAAGGGCTTAAGGTGGGCGCGCATGTTTGTTCGTTGTGTGGATGAGACTATGACGACGAATGGCGGGTGCAGAGGCGGCGATAGGCAGCGCTCATCGGGGGTCAGGTTGGTCCGGTCCACCGTTGGAGGCGCGTTTGAGATTCGAGGGTCGTCTAGGGCTAGGAAACCTTCGAGACGTTCATCGATGACTTCACTGCCCTTGGAGTAATGTCGATGCAGCTGTTGAGTTTGTGCGTCTGGTCGTGGAGCGTCATCGAGCAGCTCCGACCAAGCCAACCCCTGTCACCTATCGAGCAACCCACGTTCTGCCCCAGCCATCCTTCGAGACGTAATCCCCGACTCTTTTTTGCACAATGAACAAAACCCGTAATTGTGGCTGGCCCTACCCACCAATCTTACATCCTAACGCGCATATCCAGCATCATGGCCTCGGAGACAGCTCGAGTGGGTACAATCATCAAGGCGCGGCTTGCGTAGCCTTGTTCTCTTATCATCCAATAGGACCGACACGTGAGCCCGTCTAGTTTGCATGCAGGTACTGTTCGTCTTTCGCTCATCGCCGCCGCCGGAGCTCTAACCAGGAGTCTGGAAGATGTACCTTCTACATGTGGTAAGCACCGACTGGGGCTGCAGCGGCCTGGGTACGCCGTGGCCAAAATTTTGTAAGCTTTATAGATGCCGGATTCCCAATGTCTTTGAACTTGTTGTGTTCCTTTGCATCAATCAAACTTCGATCTTTACAGTCAAGACAAGATGAAGGGTACCTTTTCCAAAGCCGGTGCTGCGGCTCTACTGGCCACAACAGCAAATGCACAACTCTATCCCAACCAGAGCCCGTTGAACCACACCTGCCAGCTACAGGAACCACTCCTGTCTTGCCCATCGCAAGATCCTTCCAAAGTCGACTCATGCTGCGTCGAGACATTCGGTGGACTTGTTCTGAGCACTCAATTCTGGAACACATACACCGGCCGCGAATCTGAAGGTCAGCTTCTCCCTACCGACACATGGACGCTCCACGGCCTCTGGCCCGACTTCTGTAACGGTAGCTACACACAATACTGTGACCTGAGCCGTCAATACGACCCCATCCCAGGACCAAACACCACGAACGGCCTACCAAACGGCACATTCGTTCCACCCTACAACGGATCCAACATCGGCACCTTCCTCGAGCCATTTGGCCGCTACGACCTCTTGGAGTACATGAACACCTACTGGATCGCATGGCAACAAGACAACCCCGGTTTCTGGGGCCACGAGTTCTCCAAGCACGCCACCTGCTTCTCTACCTTCAATGTCCCTTGCTACGGCCCGCAGTACCGCGAGCATGAGGACGTTGTTGACTTCTTCGAGACGACTATCAAGTACTACAAGAGGTTCCCTACCTTCGATTGGTTGGCCGCTGAGGGCATCACGCCTTCCAACTCAACCACGTACTCGTACTCCGATCTCGTGGATGTTCTGTACGAGCAGCACGGCGGTATTCCTTTCTTGGGTTGCTCGGGGCCCAGGTTCAATGCTACTGATGCTGGCAAGAACACGACTGATCGAGGCTACACTATCTTGAGCGAAGTTTGGTACTACGAGCACGTAAGTATCCATTGAGCGTGCACATGATGATTAGATGGATGCTAACATGACACTAGGTGTACGGCCGCCCTCAAGAAGGCAATGCCATTCCCGTTAATGCTTCGGCTACGTACCTCACCAACTGCGCTACTTCCGAGGGCGCAATTCACTACCCGGAGAGGACCAATGGGTCGGAGAAGGCTCCCACTGTCCCGTTCTAGAAAGACACAGTCGGGTTTGATATGTATTGTAATAATCAATATCAAATACTTCGTGAACGCAGACGAAGTTACTCTTCACATCCACCTGGTTTAAGAAAAAAGTGAACACCCTAGAGCATACATTAACATCGCAAGATGTAAAGTGTATTATTTAAAGTTAGCGTGGAGCCTAAATTAACATAGAAAGATACAAAGTATGTAACCTAACGTCAACGTAGAGCCTACATTAACATAGAAAGATGCAAAGTACGTAACCTAACGTCAACGTAGTCTCTAGGGTGTCGTCCTTGCAGCACGTTACGCCTAATACATAGCCCTTCCAGGCCTTGCTTCGAGTTGAAACATTAATCTAGGAGTCACTGACCTTCAAGTGAATCAATGCAGAAATATGAAATTCCTTCGTCTCAACTGACACTAGTGATAGTCTATCAAGTACTAATACAAAACAAAAGGTTTACTTGTTCTTTACCCTCACAAACTTTTGCACCCCTGTCTTCGGATCGAATCTGCTCTCCTAGTTGAATTTACGCGGCTTTTCAGCTGCCTCGTCTTCCGGACTAGTTTGTGAGGCAGCCCTGGTGCCGCGTTCTTCCTGCATATTCGTATCCTGAGTCTGGTCTTCGGGTCCTACACCAGCTTCCTGGTGACTGCTCTCTTCCTCAGGCGTCTGACGCTCGTCGTCTGCGTGATCTTCCCCTGTGTCCATGTCGACGTCTGTTTCCTGGACCCGTGGACTCTGTGTCTCGGAGATTCGGTTCCGCTCAATCTGCTCTCTCTTGATCTGGACTGCCGCCTTTGTTGCGGGGGCGTGGTTCTGCGATCTTGGGTGGACGGTATGATCGGTGTTTTCTTCAAAGACTTGACGAGTGTAGTCTTGTTGTTTCCGTGCTGCGTCGACACCAGCGGGAAACATCTTGCCCATTATAGCATTGTGCTTATCGCTAGCGCTTGGGTCCGCTGCATAGCCGCTTGGGCTCGGCGTGTCCGGTGCATTTGCTGAGGCCGCATATTGATGGTTGGTAGGTGTGAAGCCAGTGGGTGAGTGACTTGCTTCGCCTTCGTTGCGTGAATGCACCTTGCGGAGGTTGGCTGCTGAGGATTGTGAGCGCATGTCTGGACGGCCGTCTTTGCGAATCAAGACTCCATCTGCATTCCTAATGGGTTTGGTGCGCGTCTTCTTTGCCGATCCAAACATGTCACCCGGCGATCCGAAGCTCATGGCAGCTGTCACACCTTGTAGACCTAGACTGCTAGCACGGTCGCTGGTTGCGTAACCGCCACGTCCGCCTCCACCGCCACTGCCTCGCCGCGCAATGCCCCCTCGTCCTGGCTGCGGGACGTGCTGATAGTATCCCGACGGACTGATTTGAGAATCGGGAACACCTTGCCAGTCAGGCCTTTCCCAATCAGGAGTTCCGAGTGTACCGTGGGCTGGCATACTCTTCCTCACTCTGCCACCCCGACTTCCAGGACCCCCACCACGACGCCCACGCGGTCGATGCTCGATCATACGCTGAGACTCGGGTTGCCAGCTGGCATCTGAAGGGCCATCTTGTGTGGCGTAGGGGATGTAGGAAGACTGTTGCGATTGCGATCCGAGAACAGATTCAGGTACAGTTTGTTGGGACGGTATCGTAGGCGTTTGGAAGCGATGGTCTGTCATGGAAGCTTGTTGCGAGCCCATGTAACCTGAAGGACCAGCATCCACAAGCCTCTGCCTCTTGGGCGAACCAGGTGCGTGAGTGTTGACTTCCAGTGGATTCTCAACGCCATTCTGATGTGTTCGTTTAACTCCTGCGTTGATGGTAGCCCACCCACCAGCCTGACTTCCAGTAGGCCCGACGCTCGTGGGATTCGGTGCGCTCACAGGTGCCGCCGTAGTCGAAGGAGCGACGAACGACGATTGCTGTGGCTGGCCATTGGTTACTGGCTGCGGTGCTCTATTGCTCGGCGTCATCGTTGGTGTACTCTGATGCGAGTGAGGTGGTTGTGCCATTGATGCTTGCGGTGCCTGATACGTATATGGCGGTGCTTGTGAGGGCTCAGGTCCGGCGCGCTCTTCGAGTCGATAGATTTTACCCTTCATGATCTCAATAGTAGTACTGATGAGATCTACATCACTCGCCTTATGCGACAGGACGTTCATCTGCTGCGCCATTTGCTCTAATGCTGCATTCTGAGCCGCGAAAGATGGGGCGGCATGGGGCGTAGCCGAAGCTCCTGATTGCCTCTCCATCCTCATCGTATATAACTCACGATTGATGTTTTGCATGGCAAGGTGCATGCCTTGCATCTCATTCTGTAGTCTTTCGGCCAGCGCCTCCACTTTTTTGATATGTTCGTTTTGCTGAAGAAATTTGGCCTGATATTCTCGACGCAGTGCCTCTTCTGTTTGGTCCATCTTCTCCTGCTGAAGCCGAATGTCACGAGTGTGCGCAGCTAAGGCGCCACTGTTGTGGGACATTTGCGTCTGTATACGCGCCATAGCGTCTATGCTAACGTCTTCTGGCGAACGAGGATAGTGGTGGCCGTTGGTCTGAGGGACCATTGTTGGCACTTCAGATGGACCGCTCATTGACTCAATGCCAGGCCCTGGGTGAGACCTATGAGCTTCCTGACGATAAGGAGAAGTTGACCGTGGTGCAGTGCTCAGCACGTCTTGAGCAAAAGCGTGTGGAGAGTTCCGTATCGAGGACGGCTGCTTCGATGGTGGTGCTATTAATGACGGTGTGTTGTCTCCGACAGGATGCAACGACTGCTGCTGCTGCTGCTGCTGTTGTAGATTAAGGTCTTGGGATGGCTCGTACCGCCCGCGAGCATGATCTGGGTGATCCACAGATGGCGCACGTGAGTCAATCTCCATAGCTTCAGCCGAGGACGCTTTTGGTGTTGCTCTCGACGAGGGAGGACTTGGGGTATCTTCGTTCGCTAGCAGGTCTTGTGAGGCATCCACTTCAGGTTCGACTACAATGGTATGATCTGGTGCTGTCTCGCATTGCAGTTCTATGCGACCCAGCTTGAAGAAATCTCGACCACTATCACAGGTCAGCCATCAAAGAAGGACTTGGAAGGCCATTGGAGAAGTTACTTACCGAAAGGATCCCTTTCCTGCAGGTGCGGTGACAACAGTGAATCCGATAGCTGTCTTTACGCAACCCGGATCGGGGCACGACAAAGGCTGAATGGTACTGGTGTTGAGTTAGTCCCAAGATTCCTATGCGAACGAAAGGCTAGTAATAAGGAATGCGGGACGTAAAAAGCGGGCGTACACGTCTAATAGATGTTAATCTATAGTGTGGAAAGATTTGGTGCAGGCTAGTGTCGGTGCGCCTAGAGGAAGAAACTTAAAATACCATGTAACCATCGGCAGCCGGGATACGCCAACTCGTGTGTTGGGAGTTTGTTGATAGCCGGCCAAGCTGTAAGAGGGAAAGGTGCGACAGACAATTGTAAAGGGAGAAGGGGCCAATGTGATGTCTGGGTTCAGCTTACCATCCTGCTAATTCGGTGCCTTTTGACGCCGCTTTTAGTTTGCCCATGGGTTGTAAGGTAGAACTGTAGGAGCCGAGCAGCGCGGGAACGAAGTAGCTGCCGGTGACCTTGTACCAGGAGTTGTAGAAATCTCCAATGCAATTCTGACAATTCTTGCAGTATGCTTTAGTTGCACGGTTGGTGGGCGGGGAAGGTGGAGAGGCTTCATCAGCACTCTCAACAACCTCTGGTGGTGATGGCTGAAGTTCATGTGTATTCATGTCTGACTCCACCTCGCCAATTCCGGATCGCCTGGAGCCCGCCATTGATGCAGCCCATTGACACAACAGTGCCTAGGCGATAGATGCAAGTGAGCGGAGAGGCTGCACGAAAAGTGCTAGATAGCAACAAATAAAAGTTGGATGAAAGAGGGTGGGCCTAAGCAAGCTGAACTACCGGTCTCGGGTACGCGACGACGCGTCTCAGTCCAGGATAGCGTTTCAGCAAGCGCAGTGAGATTGGAAGCGAAGAGGAAGAAAATGGTAGGCCCCAACAAGAATAGGCGGGTGCGGCGGAGACTGGAAGGAACCCTGAAAGACGAGAGCTAATTCAGAGGAGGGAAAGGGCAAGTGAAATAATTAGCAGGAGTTATTCCATGATTAGCCATGCATGAGTCCGAGTGGGGTTAGCGCGCCTCGCTATCAATTTAGATGCGCTCTATTGCGAAAAAGCCCTGAAGCCGTCTCGTGTCGCAAGCGCAACACGCTAGCTGTTCCATCTCGCGCAATAGCCAGATCTATTCAGCTGTAATTTCGTCCGTCTATCGAATGCGAGCACTTCACCACCGTCCGATGTGCGCATGTGTCGACTTGCACAGGTATCAACTCGTGTCACTGCATCCCAACACCTGATCGGTAGTCACTATCGTTATGGGGCAGTTTACTCATCCCGGGACCAAGCGCCGGCTATCTTTATTACCATCAAATTGCGACGATTACAGGTTGCCAAGTTTGATCCGCGACATGGGCCAATTAGCATAACATGTCGATGATAGCTATATGTCCGAATTTACATTTGCAGCTATATATGGGCCAGACTACTCGTTTCTGGCTTTTATCCATGCCATTTTCCATGTCGTCGTCAGCAGCATTGTCCCAACTGGTACCGCCTACCATCATGACGGAATGATCGTCACTGAGCGCACTGCCGTACCGCAGCAGCGATCCCACACAGGCAAAGATGGGATTATGGTTTTACAGAGTTGAATTTGCGCAATCTTCGCCCACTGTGAGGCGGCGAAAAGCTTTGCGCTAATTTAACTCCAAGTAAGGGGAAAGTGGACAGGGATGTTGATTGATGTCATGCAGTACTTGTGCCCTTGGCACAGTAGTTATTCGCGTTCAATCCTTTCTACCGATAATTGCAAAACACAACGCATGTTCTAGAAAGCATTCAGCCTCTCAGCCTATGCATCCCGATTATCCGTTTATACGCCACGACCGAGAGTGTCTGTCAAGCGATATGCGCTTGGACACTATGTACTACGACACGTTGCGTTGCGCGTAGTACGCGCGAGGTACGAATACTCGTACTTTACTTGACAACGATAAAGCCAACGCCGTTGCGAGCCTCTTGACAGGCCTTCGAAAGAGCCTGCACCTCCGTATCCGTCCATTTGACGCTGAGGTTGTCCCAATTCTTGGTAGCGTATTCACGGCGATACTGCTGTTGCATTGCTTGCAAGCGACGGATTTCTCGAGGGTCGCCTGTCCCACTGTACACAATAAAGGCCGTGCAGCGTGGCAAAGCGTCGTATATCTGCCCGATGCGTTCAATGGTCTTGGAGACGGCATCGCCGAGCTCAGGTCCGTGAACCTCAACATCTGTATCCTCGCCATCCTTCAGAAGACCCAGTCGTTGCAAAGCATTCTGTCGAATGAGCTCGACATCGGCCGTCTTGGCGTCGTCCCACCAGCCTCTTGCAAGCTCCAACTCGCGCAAACGTCCCCAGACAAAGTCGATCTTGTCGGTAGTGCCATCCTTGCCTTCAGCTTGACCTTTTACTGTACGCTCAATAGCTTCCACTACTTCCTCATCGGTCTTGCAGCCTATGGAAACTTGGGCTTGGCCACCATGACCTCTGTTCGGGTCGCCCCAGTCGATGACAGCTCCGGCACGATGCGCGTCGTTTGATTTCGGTCGTACAGAACGATCCATTCTCTTGAAAATAGACTCCGCGTTTGTGTCGCCCGATCCCCAGCGCGGGCCCTTTTCACACTTTTGTTTGACCAGATCGAGACACGTTCGAGCATCCTCCACACTGTCGTGACCTGCTGAGCCCTTTTGCACTTCGCGCTTGAGGTACTTCTGCGCAAGCCACTTCAGCGACTGCTTGTATGGTGGCCCACGGGGGTGCGGGTAGAGGATACCCGTGTCGATGATGAAGGGGTGGGTCAGCTTGAGTGCGTTGAGATCAGAATTTAGCGAGTGTCCCACAAGAATTGTACGCGGTGTGATGAGTTCCAATAGCTCCTTCTGTATGTCCGCTAGAGTGGTTGTGACATCCTGGAGCATGGCCGCTGTAATACCGGACCATTGGGTCAGGTAGTCCTTGATGGCGACATCTGGCTTGACAAGCTTGTCGAGAGCCGTAGTGCCGTCCCAGTTCAATAGACTGATGCGAGTGAGTACAAGCTGGTCGTTCTCAGCTTTGCACATCTCACAGTCGACGGATATAATGTGTCTTCCAGCAGTCAGACTGCCTTGTTCGATCTCCATCTCGGGTACTTCTGCATCTTCCAAGGTAGCGACATTGGTGTCGACCCAACCATCATCGGCAGTCTGATGAGCAAGCTTCCTTCTCTCGTGATTGGCCTCCTTGGATTCCGAAGTGGTGAACATTGCCGGATGTAGCACGTATTCGTTCTCTTGCTGTTCCATTAGACTGGCGATGTATTCGGTAATGCGCGTGCGCTTGTTTTCCCAATTCTTCGAGTTCTGCGGCAAGGGGCCTTTGTGGTTCCCTGTCTTCTTCATCTGCTTCTCTTCTTGCGTCTTGGGTATTTGTGAGGTTAGCATGGTATGAATGGGCGAATGCACCCTCATGTATTGGTTGTTGCGATGTTCGCCTATAGCCTTGATGGGCCAGACATGCTCAAAGATATCAGCGAGAGGTTTCAGCGATGTAGGCAGTTTATCGGCCTTGAGACTAGCCGGATAGAAGTCATCACGCGAAATGTTCAGCCGCTTGGGTTTTGCTGCCTGTGCATCCTTTACAGCCTTTGCAGCCGTCAGCCCAGTATCAGTCTGCGCGTCCGTTGTCTCTGCTCCAGCGGAAGGTTCGGACTGAGGTGCAGCGTCTAAAGCAACATCGCCGTTGAACATACCCAGGTCCAATCCCGGAACCATAAGCATGACGACCTGTTGGATATTTGCACGACTGCGTACAGAAACCCACTGCGGCGCATTACCGTCGGCAAGCAAGTACAGCACCAGGGACTGGAGATCTGTGATCTTCACGTGCGAGTTCAGGCGGGCATGATGTGAATGCTCAATGGCTGGGTAGCTCCTCTGCAGCTTGCGCTCTTTCCTGCGCTCCTCCCTGGTCAAGTTCTCGCTTGACTGCTCAGAGCCAGCTTTGTATGTGACGAACGGATTATCGGTGGACGAAAGTCGATTCCCTAGCTGGGCGTCTTTGCCTGCGAATGGGTTGTCGAGAGTCGCATCTTGGTGCGGCGGTGGCGATCGTGCCTTGCGCTTGCCCTGCCCATCTGTGTCGCGCGAATGGCCAGGACTGCGAGCTGGCGAGGGCGAGTTCGAGGCGCGGCGCCCGTTGTTCTCAGAGTGCGATCCGCGTTCCTTCCGTCTCCTTTTCGAGCCGCTGACTACTGTCCAGCCCTCTTCGTCTCCGTTAGCCGTGGTGGTTGCCGCATCGTCGGGTTGCGCTTCGCCGCGCATGTGCGCCAATGTCGCACCGAGTCCAACATCGGCAGGAGGTGGCTCGTCGCGAGCGCCGCGCTTTCGTTTGGCCATATCAGAGCTCATGCGACCCGCGTGAGTCGATTTGGTGGGCGCGAGGTGTTGTTGTGGAGAAGCTCAAGAAAATGTTCGGGGATCCGGCGCATGGGTACGCGCTAGCCATGGCCCACATGTGGGAAGCTTTACTACCGTCACTCATGTCTAATACTCCCTGTCGCCTCGCAAGACGCAACAAATTCCTATTCTACAACGGGAATCGCGTTACAGTTTCGAAGAATTCAAGTCTTCGTGGCCTTTGCTGCACAATTCACTATATACATACCCGCCGACGTCATCATCGTCCCAGCTGCGATCATATATGAATCAAGTGAAAACATTACGAAGCCATACATTCACACCTAGTCTACAATTCAAGGCCGATCAAAAGTCTATCAATAAGGGAAACATTGCGAGAAGCAGGAAATGGTGGCCTCCGGATACACAGCTATGCTAAAACCGGACATCCAGCAGCAAAGTGTATGTCGAGTGCCATCGGCAATCTACTCACCGCAGAGAGGATGAACGGTGAAACAGTGAAGTGAATTCAAGAGCGGATATTCGAGTGATGAAAGTGATGCGACCTCATGCCGGCTCCGCGAGTACTACAATACTATTTCTTCTATTGAATGCACAAGACCTTTTCCCTAGACTCTACCTCGCCGCCTACCTCTTTGCCATCCTCTACATCTATTTCAGCGCAATCTAATGGCGAATATGCTGACTAAAGACCAGTTCGTTAAGGGTCTAGAACCGCTCAGATGTGGTATCTGTTTGGACGACTACAGTACCGAGTAAGTAGCATTGGATGATCCTTGCTGGAACCACACACTGACTTGGATGCCCTTTATCAGGCATGTCCCTGTTCAACTTCTATGTGGCCACATCTTTGGAGACCACTGCATCGTCGAACAAGTCGAGGCCGAAATGCCAAACAGCAACCGCTGTCCGCTGTGCCGTCAAGAGCTTTTCCACCAGGAAAATACACCTGTATACGTCAGCGACGAGTCGGTATTTGACGAAGCCGACGACGAAGCCGAGGGAGAAGAGTGGGAGTTCGATGAAGAGAGGTATCAGGAGACACTTGCTGGGCTTCTTCATGATAGCGAGCCAGGTATGGCCAATCTCGCCTCCTCAGATCTCAAAATGCTTACGGACTCAGAAGGACGGACATATGGTCTAGCACCCAGTGTACTCCACGCCGAGACCATTGCCACGACAAGGAGGGAGCGCCTCAATCGCCAGCGGGAGTTCAGACTGGAGCATGCCGAGCGCAGGCAAGATGAGCGCAGGACAACCGTCCCGAAGCTACCTGGACGTACTCGCACCTACAACCAGATTGAAGCATCTGATGTAGAGACGGACGCAGACTGGTCCGGATCTGAGTATGAGCCAGAAGAGGACAACGACCCAGCCGATGAATGTGAAGAGTGATTTGGTGTCGACGTAGATACCAGGGTATATTTTTGTATGGCACTCGACTTGAGCCAAGGGATATGTAGTAGCCAGGATGACCTTTTGCGAGGCAGTTGCTGCGTTACGAGAGAAATGTAGCCTCCACAATCTCCTGTTGCAAGTGATAAGCTAGGTTTCAAAAGTGATGTAGCATCCACGGCCCTGTTTGTGATATCATGCCGAAACAATGCCAGCCCTGTCGATAACATCTACCGAATCTGCTATCTTTGTGGATATGAAGGCCAACAGGTGGCCAGGGGCGTAGAATTTAGCCGGCAGGTTGTGTAACATTGCATCGACGCATGTCAGCATTCACATGGTAAGCTTCTTCGCATTTCTATTTGTACATACGCTCATCTACAGTCATTGTCATAATTCGTCGGTCTGTATCGTTATCCTTTCTATAGTTTTCCTCTCCTGCTATCGACCGCTTCCCTGAGCTTCTTGATAACGTCTCCAGGGTCTGAAGCGCCGAAAACAGCACTGCCAGCAACGATGACATTCGCGCCAGCATCAGCAGCTTGGTCGATGGTCTTTTCGCTTAGACCTCCGTCGACCTCGATCTGTAGCTCTGGGTACTTTTGTCGAAGCGCGGTGACTTTGGGAAGCTCGGACGCCATGAATGACTGGCCACCGAAGCCGGGCTCTACAGTCATGATCAATATCATCTGTGGATGTTAGCATGGAATCTCTACCGAACGTGACGTGGCCTAACGCGGGCCTCGAGTTGAGGTTATTGATCCTGCGGGAGCAGCCAGCGGCGTGGGCGGGTAGGTACCGATGTCAACATTGGGGATTACTGAATTGACAGGTGGCCAATAGGTGGACAGTCGGTTGGGCAGCATGCGGCAGGCTTCTCGAAAGAACGCACAGGTCAAGACTGATTGACAGTGGGCTTACGCAGGCTGGTATGCCTAAGCGCCAGCGCGTGCCGCCCACGCCCCAACAGGGTCAGCCCTACCCAGCCTCGCTTTGCTCGACCACTTCCGAGGCCTCTCTAACCACCATATAGCGCGTGCGGCCCTTTCGTGATATCGATTGTGATGATGGAAAGCATGGCAGGGCAGGGGTAATGAACTCACATCCGGAACCTCGTCCTTGTTTGGGTTCTCCAGTATCTCCCACAGGACGTCGACTGGTGTGCTCGGCTTGATTGCGATACCAGCCTGCATACCCTCGCTATGTATGAACTTGACCAGCTCTTTTGGAGATGTCTTCTGGTCCGACTTCCCACTAGGCGAGTCTGCCGCGGTCGACGAGACGGCGGCTTCGTAGTGGAAGCAGTACAGATCGCAGCCAGCCTTCTTGAAGTCGCGCACCCATCGCTTGGGCTCGGCGATCATCATGTGACAGTCGAATGTTCCCTTGCCGTGTGCGGTGGTCGGTCGGTCGACGTGTGAGCGGATCTTGGTGACAACGGGCGCGCCAAAGGTCATGTTGGGCACAAAGTGGCCGTCCATAATGTCGACCTGCACGTGTCAGTCGCGTGCCCTCCAGCCCGAAACTCAGCATCGCGTACATGGAGCCAGTCGGCGCCCTGGGAGATTGTGTCTGAACAGGCCTTGCCCAGCGCTCCGAAGTCTGCCGACAGAATCGACGGCGCGATGATGGCAGGCGGTGACATGGCGGGCGGTTCTAGTGCGGTTTCGGTGTGTATAGGTGATCTGGAGAAGCGCCAATGGGAGGTATGGGGAGATTGTGGAAATTGCTAGTGTGACGGAGCTCACGATAGCTTTTTGGTGTTGACGGCATCAGCGTCACGCCTGCCCCTCCATCCATGCCCCGCTGCAGGCCTTGGCACGCCTCACCTCTGTTCTTGTTCATGCAGACCGCGCACCTCACCACCTCACGTTTCGAATCAACTATGTTTGCTGAACGGGGCCGTCAATGCATCAAATCGACTGAAACCTTCTCTATTGTTATATCTTGGTGATCGGCAACCGCGTGGCTGCTCGCGTGTTTGTACTGCCGAGATGGCTGCGACGGGTCTCGGCACCTGGTCTTTCCCTCTCACATGGCACGGGATGACTACATGACAGCCTGGGAGACAGCCACAACCACCGCCTCGCGTCCAACTCGAGGCCGTGAGACAATATCCAGCCCCGCAGCAAGAATCGATTTCGACGAGGCACTATTGGGCGAGTATGCTGTCCAACGCCGCTGCGTCTCGTCATTGGACAAGCGTGCAGAACGCGAGCGCTGCAAATAGCACAGCCCGGCGCTTACAACCAAACACCCAACCACGCCGTGCAGCGCAACGCTCCTCTAGCCCAAAGTTTCTAGCGCATGGTATTGACCTTGCTCACCATCAACTTACTCTGGCCAATCATGCCGTCTTCACCCTCTTTGCCATGTCGTGGCCGACCTTGAGCCGCTACTGCCTCTCCACCCAGACTCGGCCCTCTATGCGAGTGGACGGCCAACTGGCAGTGTAGCTCGGACGAATGCCACAGTAACACTAGCCCACAGTCAGTCGACGAGTAGGCGTCTACGCGCGATATATCCTCTGATCATCGCGCTCGCGCCGCATCTACTCTCTTTTGCCATTCACTTCTAGTCCTCTTCCGAGCCCCTTCTTCCGCGAAGTCTTCGTTGATCGAAGCAATTCCATTTTTACCAGTAAGCTGTTGACCAGCGCAGTTTTGGGCTATAGCTCATCTTAATATCACCTCTATTCGGTCCCCTGTACTTCTGTATTTGGACCCCTACCACCCTCGCCGCATTCCCGCCTGCTCGGATTTTCATAGGTATCTTTAGTAATATTAGCACAAGGCGGTGCTCACGTCACTGCAATATACAACATGCCTGAGATGTTGGAGCCGGCAGTATACCATCCTGCAACCTTCGGCCCCATGGCCAACTCTCATCAAGCCATGTCTCCGCTGGATCAGAGACAGGCACTTAATACCACCGACGACGAGTCCTCAATTCCCACCTACTACTTCGGAGCAAGATATTCGACCTCGTCGATATACCTACCCAGTCCCGCGTCACCAGCCAGCATTGACGACGACTTCCCTACCCCCAAGGCACGCTTATTCGATATGACCCCGCAGCCGTCGCCACGCTTTCCTGTTCACTCGGCTACATATCCCCCAGCAAATCGGGCGAGTCGTGCTGACAGCGACTTCGACTCCCTCTACGACATCACCGACGATGAGACTGAGGTACCTCTTCATGCATCCGCATCAGTCAAGAAGCTTGCGACCCAACCTAGGCAGAGACGCTACCCATCCATCGTCATCCCTTCGCCTTCCGCATGGCCAACCATTGAGAAGTTGAAGAGTGCAAACTCGGCGATGCCCGTTACTCCATCGTTGCTACTGACCCCATCGCGTCGCTTCCTTGAGATGATCGACTCCCACAACCTGCATGTGCCTGAGCACTCAGCAGCCCCTTCTCTGGACGGCAGCCTGACATCAGAAGAGATGGACAAGCTCAGTTGCCCTGCCACCCCGGTCTCGCAACGCAGACGCGGATCCATGTCCAGCGTTGACTCGTGGGGACCTGTGCAACTGGACCTGCAAGCGATGGAGACTCTTCAGCACCTCGGAAACTCGCCATCTGCTGAGCAGTACGAGGAACCCGAACAGCAAGAGATTCAGGCGGTTGAGGTTAGAGGCGAGATGCAAGAAGTCTCCCGGCCAAGTCTCGGCTTGAGCATTCCCGCAACAGTCTTCGGAAACGGTTCCTCTGGTAGCACGCCGATTTCCGCGCTTTCTGTCCCTTCTCCCGGTGGGTTCTTCTCATCGCTTCAATCGACTGCTCGTCACACCTGGAGTATTCCCAAGCGCGATGAGTCAATCCCAAACACTTCAACTGCTGAGAGGTTTTACAACCTTCCATGGGAGAAAGAGAACCGAAGGAACACTTCCCCACACCCCATGCCAGCTGTACCAGCTGTGCCAGCTCTCCCGGTACGAAACTCGACTCTTGCCGGATCCACTCTCGATGGACACGATGAGCCTCTGGCGACATCGCGCCCAGTCCTCCTCAGCAGCCCAACCGATGAGAATGTGGAGATCAAGGAGATTAACCCTAGCAAGACCATCTTTCAGTACGACGAGAACTACAACGCCGGACTTCAAAAGGTGTCTACTGCCAACCTCGAGATGACCGGCCGGTGGTTGGAGGAACAAGATGAACTACAAACCGCTCTTCGCGATATGAGTGACATGACCTCTCCCAGCCTCTCTAGCGGCACCCACAGCCGCGGCAACTCGATCGAGAAGACTGTGGTCAAGAAGTCAGTCAAGTTCGCGGATGAGCCAGCCAAGTCCCCAGTCAAGGAGTCGGCGGATGAGCCCATTACCACCTACGTCCAAGGCCTTGAGTACCTTCACTCTCGGTGCCAAAAGAAGGATACGTTCATCCACCGCCAGACTCGCGCTGAGGCTATGCACGTACAGCGCCGCTGCAATCCTCTCGCGCATCGCGATCAGCTCCTGGGAAAGTTCGAGCTCTGCCAGCCAGAGCGCCCAGCGCCACCGCGACCTGTGTCCGAGTTCTTCGTCAACGATCCAACTGTACTGAAGGAGAGAATCGCGCGCGCACAGACAGAGCGTCAAGCGCTCGACCAGATGTTGCCCATCCACTGGGTGTTGCAAGCTCAGAAGCAACTCAACGGTGGCAAGCTTCTTAGCAAACCTGCCGTGCGATGCATCACACGCGCTAGTGCTCCACGCATCCTCGACGTTGGTGGTGTCGCTACCAACGATTGGGCGTGGGATGTTGCCTACGACTACCCATACGCTACAGTGACTACTGTCTACACTGCGGGTAACAACATGTCATCCAACGTCAAGGGCCCCGACAACCATAAGCACCTTACCGTTCCCAATCTCTGGACTCTTCCCTTCCCTTCTGGTCACTTTGACGTTGTTTCGGCACGTACACTTTACGAGCTCCTCAAGACAAGCAAGCCTGTCGGCAAGTCATCAGACGAGTACGACCTGTGCTTGAAGGAGTGCTACCGCTGCCTCAAGCCCGGTGGTATTCTTGACTTCAGCGTCATGGATGCCGATGTTGTCCATGCTGGCCGCAACGCCCAGGCCATGGGTGTCGAGTTCGGCTTCAACCTCAAGACCCGCGGCTACGATGCGCAGCCTACCAAGACATTCCTCCCGCGCGTCTCCAAAGCGGGCTTCAAGGACGTTCAAAGGGCGTGGATGCTCCTTCCCATGGGAAAGACGGCAGCGAACTGGAAGGACACACTTGCTGTTGGCGCCGAGCCAAAGCACCAAGAGCGTCGCATCACAGAAGACGGCGAGATCGAGCTTGAGGACGCCCTGGTCTTTGGCACCACCGTGGATGCGGCGATGTTGACAGGTGTAGTTGGAAGCTGGGCATGGGAGAGGTGGCTGCTCCGATTGCAAATGGAGATGGGCAAGGATGAGGAGAAGCTGTTGGAGGGAGTTGTCAACGTGCTGGAGGAGGGCGCACAGGGCCACGCTGGATGGAGGACTTTGTCCGGCTGGGCGAGGAAGTAATGGTAACGGGATTGAACATGATTTGATACGGTTACGATGGCTTTGGGTAGACGGTGTTGGATAGGCTGGATTGGATTGGACTAGGTTGATACCACAATAGCGAAATTTCTTTTGTAGATGAATTGAAGACAGTGTCTATCACCAAGCATTTCGTGTCAGACTGTCACATATGAATGTCTCTGCATATTGATCTGAAGGTGATGCTGAAGTGAGATGGATGGTGAGGCGGCAGATCAGCCTCGCTCGCAGCGGCGCGAACCCCACGCGGTCCATGCGCAGCGCATAACCTCGTCACTGTGCCATATGCACCACAAGTCGCGACCACTCCACCCAACTTGCGCTTAGCTGTATCTCCAACGTCTCTACCCTAATCCTTTTTCTCACATACACACAATGCTCTTCTTCAGGTTAGCCCCCGGTTCCTGTCGACAATGACGCAACAGCGACTGACAGCGCAATAGCTTCTTCAAAACGCTCGTCGAGCACGAAATCACCGTCGAACTCAAGAACGAAGTCCAGATCCGCGGAACACTCAAGAGCGTGGACCAATACCTGAACATTAAGCTGGACAATGCAGAGGCGGTAGATGAGCTGAGGTGGCCGCATTTGGTACGTTTGTGCATCGCGCCTCTCTCGTGCGTACGGAGCAGACAGCGTGCCAGAGACATGGTGACATAAACTATTGGAAGAAACAGTCACTAAATTTACAATAGTGCTCGACAAAAGACATGTTCATTCGCGGTTCCGTCGTCCGATACGTACACCTTCCCTCCGGCGCCGTTGACACCGCACTACTCGAAGACGCGACAAGGAGAGAGGCCGAGGCGGCGAAGAACAAGGCGAAATGAGAGAGGAGGGATATCAGGTGCTAGGATAACGCGTGATGAAGCGACCGTTCGTGCGGCAACATGAGGAGGGCAAGACGCGCGTGGGCGGACGCAATGTGACATGACAACCCACGACATATAAGAGCGTGGCCAAGCGCAAAAGCTGGAAATCTGGACCTGGAGCGAGTGCAAAGGCTGTGCAAGCAGGAAGAGCGCTTGTGGAGCTGATGATGTGAATATACCCTTGAGGAGTGCGAGGTGATAACTGGCCCATCTTTGTTCTCGCTACCCATCTCTACTCTCTGTTCGTTCCATCTACCGCTGTGTTTCGGTTCCTTCTGAGCTCATGGAACATGAGCATTGCCCCTCCAAGCCCATATTTGACATGGTCTCGAAGTTAACTTGCTCTTCCACATACGTGCGTTCCTCCTTCGTTTTGCCTACCCATAACTATAGCATCAAACTTGCGGTGCCATCAATGGGCTTTGTGATATGTCGTCTACATCGCTTCCCCTGTGCGTTTTGTCTGGTACAGTCCCTATCTCCACGAGACGAATCACTGCGATGTGTGGCGATTCGATATTTTGGTTGCCATCCACTCCATCCACTGGTACTGCGATAACGCAGGGCGACAACGAGCCACTCACGACTCCTGCGATACATCACCATCCCATATTCAAGGGTACTCCTCAAATGGGGGAGATTGCAATCATCAGACCCCAAGAGACGCGGCCGCACGTGTGTCCCCTCCCTTTCACCTTTTTCCGTAGCAAACGAAACAAGTCGCGTAGAAATTGCGCTCACCCACAGTCCTCTCCGCCGGCAAACTACGCGTCTCTATGACCCTGTCTACCCCCAAACAACACCAACGCTGCAACAGCTCTTCCGCCGGTTGACGACGTCCACGCACACGCTTTCAAAAGTTTCAAATCAGTCCCTTCGAGACGACACACCACGCAACGAGTATACTCGCAAAAGAGACCCTCAACAACCATGGCGCCCATATCCTACTCAACTTCAACTCCCTCAGCCACCCCAGCGCCTTATCCGCTTCCTCGCTCCGCACATGAAGCCTCGTCCGCCCATGCCCTCTCCACAGCAGACATCGGCGTCGTATGTTTTGTCGGCATCAGCGGCATCCTCATCTACATCATCGCCGCCATTCTATATTTCCGCCGCAATCCAATCAGCCTGCCCAGGCCCTTTCGCAAGCGCGCGCACACCGACGAAGAGAGCAACAACGCGGACGGCAGAATGGTAGGAATATCCATGTGGGAGCGAGGCGTACCACTATACGACAGAAGTGGTGTTACGACAACAGCAAATTCGGCATTTGGAGACGTGTATCCTTCTGAGGGTACTGCGGTGAATGCTGGGCTTGAGAGGGAGATATTGGAGATTCTGCAGGCGGAGGCGCAGGTCAGGGCGATGTCGAGGGTTGTGACGAGGTATTGAGTGCGGGAAGCGAACATCAAAAAAAGGTGTGGGTAATTGGAGGGTGTTGGGTAGCTTTGGAGATGACATGCAGGGTTGGAACGCAAGCGTTGAGCTGATAGTGTCTCTACAGCGCTACGTCGTTGATTTGGCTGACAAGGACCAAAGTCGTGCGTAGATGTATGCTTCAGTCGTCTTGAAAAGTTTCTGCTTGCTCTTGTTTGTACTTGATGTATCTGCCAAGTAGTGATTACAACGCTACAAAACAAAGGAAGTAGGGGCAAGTAGGCGGCAACATGCGTTATTCAGATCAAATCCACGATGCTCACTTCGTAATCACATCTCAAAAACCAATCAACCCATTCCAGACCCCTCCAATACCTAGGCCCAAGGATCCTCCCGTACAACCTCCTCAACCGTCACCTTCCTCACCCCAAGCATTTCGTTCCTTCTTGGTTTGAACTTCATCCACACCCGCTTCCTCAACGATTTCTCATCCCGCCTCTCCTTCTTCTCTTTAACAAGCTTCTGTCTCACTGCCTTCACGTCCTCATCAGACGAGGAAGAGCTCCAATGAAGAGTCGGCGCAGTGTTCACGCGCCATGCCTGAATGCGCTCTTCGCGTACGGGCGAAACGTTGAGTTTCTTGCGGAGAACGTTCCTGTTATGTGACTTCGGTGGTTGTGTGTCCTCTGCTAGAGACCGAAACAGTGAGGTCGCTGCAGTTGTAGTGAGGACGAGTGTCGCGACGAAGATAAGCGCTGCTTTGGCGACTATGCTCAGGCCGCGTTCGTTGTGTGATGTGCAGAGTGCGGTGAGGAAGCGGGTGATGAGGAGAGAGAGGAGTATGCATGGGAGTACGAGCCATGCGGATGGCTGGGGTTGCGACATCGTGGAGAGAGAAGTGAGGTGTTGGTGCGCAGCAACAAGGCACCTTAATCGAGAGTTGGCTTGTGGGAAGGCCAATAAGCTCGAAGGTCACTGCGTTAGTCTTGTGGGTTGGTAGAAATTGGATTGGGCGGAGTTAACGGCGGAAGTGTTTGGCTTCTGGTTCATTCACTTCTTAGTATCGACCACTTTGGTATATGGGGAATGAGAAACGCTCATTTACTTTTCACACATTGCTATATTGTCTCACAGTTTGCTTCAAACTTTTGCAATTAGGCAGGTTACCTAGGTACTTTCAAATTGTCTGTTCGCATCCATTGCATCTGTTCCATCTATTACTTCGCACCCATTCTTTTCGAAACCTTCCAGCTCTCTGCTAAGCGCCATACATGAATTATGACGTCGCTGGATGGAGTAGACGCGCGGTTACCGTTTGCCTCGAGGCCTCCAGGGCTACCGTAAAAAAGGGGGTGGAGACGTTTGTGACCCTGGTGCATTTGCCATACGATGAACCAGAAGCTCACCGATATTATAGTACGGATGAACCAGTAGAGAATCTCAGTTAGAGCTGGTACGAGCATGTTGAGTTTTTTTCGGGGGTTTGCAAAGGAGTCGCGTGTAAGAAAGCTTTTTTCTAGGGGTTGTATAGGAGGACTACACTGTGAAATTGTCGGCTGTGGTTACACCAAAGCCGTACTATGGAGCATACAGCGATTGCCTGTAATTCGGGTATTGCTCAGCTGAGGTGAGTGCGGCGGCAAGTGCATACACACTGCGCCTGCTCGCTAACAAAGTCGTCGTTTACTTTCTCGTACCTAGATGAGGACAAGACTCACACCATCACATCTCTACTCAAACAGCCGCGCCGATTTCCCACTAGCTACCATCATGGAACTCTACATCCCAATCTCCATCTCAAAGCTCTTCCTTGTCTACTTCCTTCCTCTCGCAGCCTCTATCGCAATATCCGCGCTGAACTACGCCGGCCTCGCAAAAGTCCCCCATATTGTCATACTTCTCGCGAGCCCAGCCCTCCTCGTCCTTCAACCAATATGGGAAGAAGCTCTGCTCTGCGAGTTGGAAAGACAGTCTGAAGAGCTGAGGGCTGAGAACACACGTCTCAGAGCGCAGACTGAGGAGATGAAAAGACAGACTGAAGAGCTGAGGGCTAAGAACAGGCGTTCCAAAGCGCATCTGATGGCATTCGAACACGCGACTGAGGAGCTGGAGAACGAATCCGACGACTTGGATGACGAGGCTAAGATTTTGGCCAGGATAGAGAAGATCAAGGCACTACAGGAGGAGTTCAGGAAAACGTTTGGATGATAACAGGATTAGGAAGGAGGATGGGCAGCGAGGAAGAGTGATTCGAGGTTGGCCAGGGTGTAGAGACGTCACGTTATTCGTAGAGCAAAGTTCTATGTTGCCAATCCAAATATGGTTTTGGCTTGTGTACGCTGCGTCAATTACTATCTGCATCTTGATGTGTGATCTTGATGTGTGACTTGAACACGTGAAAGATCTGTACCAGCATGAGCTTAGTCCATCTCAGACTGTTCATAAGACGTCTATACATCTATGTCTGCTCATAATCCTACTCGCCTCATAATCTCCAAGGCTGCAGAATGCGCTCGCGGCTAAATCACCGGGATGTTACTGTGAAGACACCATCCAGCGTACCCCTTCGGGCCAGCTTGGCCATCGAAACTTGTTTCCGCCTACATGGACAGCGACAACTCACCCTCCACCAGCTATGCACCTGTGGTGAGGTCGGAATTGACTTTGTGTACGACATTAGCCTGCAGGAACATGCTATATCCAACACGACGCTAATGATCGACGCAGGGATGGGGTACACGCCGCATGCATGTGCGGTTTGCATATTGCCGGACAACATCAATATTGTGAACAGCCGAGGCTTTCCTCCTTGGGCGACTACTCATCCCGGTGTCCATCGGAGCGATGATGCCATGTTCGTAGGAATACGGTTTACGGTGTACGGTGTGCGGGTGTGGCGGAGATGATGTCTTGGTGACGCCGATGTAGAAGAGCCGATATCGCGACATGGCTTTCGTCCAGACACGTTATGGCGGTGAATTTACTCGCATGTAGAGAGCATCTTCTTCAGCACGCCCATCAGGGTGCCGTTCTCGAGGGCAGCGGCGACGCGCTCCTTGTCGCCCAGCTGCTTGTTGACCTGCTCATCGGTGCTGTGGGTGCCCTTCTTGATGCGGACATCGACGCGAAAGCGCGGAGGTAGTGCCTGTTCGAGACGGACGCGCACGCCCAGGCCGATGACGGTGGCCAGCGAGCAGTGGGTAATGGTCGGGGTGATCTCGACGACGACGGTGCTGATGCTCGAGAGCGGTGACGAGGGGGGCAGAATGTGGATGTCTGGCAGGTTGACGACAGACAGCGAGCCGAGGGACAGCGGGTGTTCAGGGTCGCAGATGGTGGAAATGAGGTCTGTCATGCGCGGGGTCAGCCAAACGTTAATGCCAGCAGGACCAGCAAGCGCGCCTACCGTAGATTTCCTGCTCGTCAATGTCCTCACGTGCGTCGTCGCTGTCTGAGTCGCCTGCTGAGACGCTGTCGTCGAAGGGGTCGCTGAGGTAGTTGTAGCGCGGTATCAGGTTGTCGAAGAGGCCGGTCCCGCCGTCATCGCGCCTCTTTGCCGTCGAGTCGCTGCGGCGGGAGGGCAGATCCGAGGGATTCAGGATGGTCGGGTTGGCGTTGTCCTTGTCGAGCTCCATGGCGGCGGTTGGCAGGGGTCGCGGCGTCGTGGTGTGATGGTGGCGGAGGGAAGGAGCCGTCGTGGGCTCCTGCCTCTCCAGCAAATCTGCGAGGAAGGCGCGCCCGGGCCACCAGCAGCCCCTCCTCGGTGTTCGTCATCTAGCATGTGCTAGCCAGCCAGACACTCGGAATATGTCACCCGCCTGCACCTTCACCCTCACCACCACCTCCACCACCACCGCCTGCCCCCGGCCATGCCCGCCGTCTTAGCAATCGCTCTGTAAGCCATCAATTTCCCGCAGATTATCCGCGACATACAGGGGACACTTGTGTGGGGTGCACCGTTCACACCACAGCACCAGGGCACCCGTGTGTTTGACTAGTGTCTGCAGCTTTGTGTCATTCCATCACGCCGCCGGGGTATACAGTTCGTCGACTCCTGCCTGCTGCCGTTCTGCTCGGCCAGCCTCGGCAAATCCCCAGTGCGCATCCAGAAGGTGAGAAACAGCGCGGCTGGCGGATTGCCCTTGGGCTTCAACCCCATCGGCAGCCGACGCTTCCGGCTGATCAACCAGCTGCTCACCTCCCCAACCTCGCGCCGCCATGGTGATCGTGTTGACGACATGTTTCTAACAAATCACTCCCAATAGCAGCGTCGTCCCAACGACCTGTGTCGGCTCCTCCCGCACTTGTGCCTTCATAACGGAAGTGCTGCCTCATCCGGCGTACGACCAACCGCGCTGCTGGATTGTCCCTGCTTTGCTTGCCGTGTTCCTGAGCTGCAGGGAGATCAACGGCAGTGATCAGCGCAAGATGACTGATGAGGTCAGTATCGTGTTATCTTACCACGCGCCACGGAAACCACTGCTTCTATCGACCTTCCAAAGGTCGACGGTAGCCTGGCGCCAGCACCTGTCAGTCATGGCACCATCCCGTCTTGCTCCATACAAAGCACCCCTTGGCAACGCCCGTCGTGTCTCTGCGTGATCGAAGCTAGCACTCGTAACCTGACTGCGCCTTGACTGCCATCGCCATCACCATCATGCCACCTGCGTGATGGGGAAACTAATCTTTCAGCTGCCTTGTCGCCTGCCGCGCGAGAGAGAACGCGACCCGGCAACATGGTTGACAGATTACAATAGCCCTTAAAGAAAGGGATTTTCGACCCTAACTTTAGCTCTCCATGCAATCTTCGGTCGTTCTTCATGTCATGCAATCGCCAGTGGCGGACGAAAATACGATCCATGCGCCGGATCGAAGCCCTCGACAAGTCTGCTCAGCTACGTTTCGCTTCGCGGCCGCAATATCTCGTATTCGGCTCATGCAAATGCTATGCCGTCTGTCTGTGCATGCTACATACACATTCGAGAATCTTGTTAGCCCAACTGAGGGTAGCATCTGGAGTAATATTGTTTCATGCGGGCTACGCTGATGGTGATGCGTCTGCCGTTAGAACCTTGCCTGCACATGGCCCTACCAAGCTTCCGCACGAATCAATTCGCCGATGTGTCGTGCTCAACGACACACACCGGTTCTGCCGTAGCCTTTGCGGCATGCGACGGGATCCCGTCTGCCCAACCCATGCAAAGTCTCGAGTGAACGTCGAGTCTGCGGCCATGGAGATGCCACCGATCAGAGCGGCACATCAACGAGGCCAAAGCGCGTCGAGTAGTGGACGCCTATCCTCATGCTGCCTCAAGCCAAGTCTCTTCCGCGACTATGTGGACAAGACTTGTTTCGCTTTAGCTCCTGGCAGGTCGTGCAGCGTCCTACCAGAGCCATCTGTGTACCCCTATCTAGCCAGCTATAGTCGTACACCTGCTGTATTATATGTCGGCTAAAGCATAATATTCGTCATCGAGGCTAGCAGCCGGAGATCACTTTCTAGAAGGCCCACCTGTCATTGCGGTGACACTGCCAGACCATGTCTCAAACATTCAGGCACCTAAGGCTGTGCGAGATGAGAAACTAGGTACGACTATGAACCGACTAAATGCACGCGCAAGGTTTTCGACATTGTCCAGCCCTATCACGGCCAGGTCCGGGCTGCTGCAGTCTACTGGTCACGTCTGATCTTCTTTTTCTGGGCAATCCAGCAAATGCACCCGCCACCAGAGCCTCGCAACAGCTTGCGTACTCGGTCCGCTGAAGGTTTTTACTTTGCCTCGAAGTCTGCTGAGTGAGAATGCCGCCATGTACCACCGTCTTCTCAGCTGTCAGACTTTGCCCCCGCTGATTTTATAGCAATCGTTCCCGGCCCATGGCAGTGCTTCGAGGTCCACACTACCCGTCGTTCTACGTGTTACGATTCAGGCCGTCTCCAACGGGCACCACAATCCCTGCTGCCCATTGCCTCACACCCCCACAGCACGGCAGTTCCCTGTGCCCGCAGCATCTTGGTAGCGGACGCTTGCGCTCACGCGCGTGCAGCTTGGGCGCCCATACCAAAGGCGCTACTTGTGCAGCAGTGCGGCTCCTGGATCCTGCACGCTTAAGTCGCATATCGTCTACCCCTCGCCCGCCTATCGACCCCTTCATACACGGCCAACCGCCTAGGACCACAATACTCTTGCCTTTCAGGAGATCCATACACTGCGACGCCACTATTGTGCGCGTGAGCCACGCTGCGAGCCCGCTGCCAGTGCGTCTTCGAAACCCCGGTATGCCAGACATCGTCTCCACCTACCATCCCTATGCGCCTTCTGCCCTGATCTGCCGTATAACCTAACGACGCCGCGGCGTCGCGGAGATTTCCCTTGCGCTATAGCATTCTACAGTGCATCTATTGTCGATTTCGCTTTCTTTGTGTATAGTTTTGGCCATTCCGCGATTTCTTCCGTCCGCCGACCCTCAGGACATTCTGGACCGTCATCGCGCGCCGCTACCATTGGCTGCACACCGACCACCGCACACAACCTCATCGACTTAGTGGATAGCCGACAACCCCGCTGCTTGCAACCATTGCGCAAAGCCTTGCGCTGTCACTCCGGACCGGCTCGTGGTAGCTATTAACGTTATGCCCCCGGAGACCACTGGACGGCCACTGCTGCCACAAACGGCGCAAATGCAGAGCTTCACCTTTGCGCCGCCCACGCTGGCACCGCGCGAAAACCAGCGCAGTGAGTCCACACGCCGCTCAGCGTCTTGGGATCAAGGCAACTAACAACATCTCCAGATTATGTATTCGTAGACGAACACAATAGACACAAACGACTGAAAGGTGTGAAGGCACATTTTGACTTAACATGCAGATGCTAATGCAGAACAGTAATGAGAGCATGCGAAGGATGCCGTAGACGCAAGATCAAGTGCGACGCGGCAACAACGAATGCATGGCCCTGTGCTGCTTGCATTCGTCTGAAGCTTAACTGTGTGCCGCCTACAGTCAGCTATGACAAGGACTACAACGGTTCGCAAACGTTTGACCTGGAGCCCAAACCGCTCGAGTATGCCCCGGACCCATCTTCTCAACATGACTACCAGCGCCATCCGTCCATGTCGCAGGCCATGTCTCACCAAATGCCGCCTTCCATGCCGACTACCCAAGGCATGTACCAACCGTCGCCCTACGTGGATCAACAGTCCCAGGAGTC